TTACCCTGAACAGATTACGAATTTACTCAGGGTTAGTACTAGAATGTCACGAAGCTTTGGCAAGGGTATCCATCCAATATGGAGCAAAAGTGACGCCACAACGAAAGGTAGCCTTATTGATGATTCACTAGCCAAGATGGCGGCCAACCAAATACGTTTTGGACCTGGCCCTTCTATTGGACTGACAACATCGGTAGTGACAGACCCAAATAAAGAATATACTCTTGTGAAATTAAAGGAAAGATGGGATGAAACAAGAATCTGCTGAGTAACCAGGGAGATTTTAAGTTATCCTGACAACATTACAACAAACAAATACTTGACTATGATTAGACAGAATCTGCGTCTTATCACAGGCATTCTGACTAGTCATTGCCAAGTACAGAAGCATTTCCATATCATGGGACTGTCAGAATTCGCACCCCGCAGGGGGTGCAAAGAAAAAAATGAAACCATTGAACATATCCTCTACGATTGCCAGTCGCTCTCATTTATTTTCGGCGAGTATTGGCTAACACCGGCCTATATAAGAGAAGCACCTCTTGGCGACGTTGTCAACTTCATTAAATGTGTGGGCTGGCTCATGAGCTAGGTGGTGCCTATCACTTTCTGAAGATACACAATGGGCATAGTGAGGCCTAAGTGCCGTTGGGTAACCCACCCTTTACACGTTACATATCCAGAAGTACTGTAGGTAGCTGTAAATGCATTTTGATTGCATCCTGATAGCAGCGATTTGGTTTCTCGAAGTGAGTTTGTCATATCTTTTAATTATTGTTTTGTATTTATTTACTGTTTTAATTTGAATGGTTTGAAAAACAAAAAAAAAACATATTTAAATAAAAGAGTAAGAAATTAAACGATGCATAATACGTAGGCGTAAATTATCATTATAGGTAATACTGATTTAGAAATTAAAACAAAACATTGACAGCCAGATACAAGAACGTTCAATAAAATTTACGAATAACGCAATGTATTTTTTTTTCTTGTAATTTAAATTTTAAAACTATCTAATTTCTAATTACTACTTAGGGTCGGTCTTTTCACCATCAGATAAAGTTCCAGATAACTAACTGACGGATATATTATCTGAGAGTAACTGTCTGTCAGATAATTAATGTTCTGTTTTTTCAAGTAAATAATATGTGTGGTAGGTATCCAGTCGTTTTTAACCTTATGTGGTTATGTAACTACCTGTTTATCCATGAGTGAAGTATTTTATTAGAAATTTCATAAATAAGATAATTTATCATTGAGAAGTTAGGTTTACCCAGCAGTGAAAAGATTACTTTTTAAGTTACTTGGGAGATAAAAATTACCTGACACTTTATCTGAAGGTGAAAAGACCGACCCTTAGTTAAATACAACTACTTAACTATACTGCAATTTTCACAAAACGGGAATAATAATATACCAAACGTTGCTCTGGTTGCTCTACATAAATTGACAGCTATATTTGACGTTAAACCACCTCTAAAACACTGAGAAAACTTGGCAGTTTTTTGACCACGAATCGCCCATTTAGTTTCGCTTCTTGGATAGGTATTCTTTGATACAAACTAACTACTTACTATTGTTAAGTTTTCTATTCTATTGTAGGTCTTCCAAGGAAGTGCACTATCATATGTTCGGTTACCATTTGTAACATTAAAGCTAGAATTGCACCAGAACACAAAAAGTTTATAGCGTTATTCAGTAATAAATGAACAAAAGGAAAAGGTCATATCTTGTAAATTCACAGAATATTCTGCTTTCGAAGGTAATTTAAATTCCTGTCCAGGTTCTATTTTTTTAAGGTGGGTGTATAGTGTTGCTTTCTTTTTGTGGCTTCTGAACACCATCGAAGCAAATAATCTTCCATCACATTAACATTTATTATTAGAAAATGGCACTGTTGTCAAAAGTTTGCAGTTTTAATGATGTCGATTTATCTTCGAAATAAAAACATTATATCGAATGCAAAGTGACCATAAAATTATACTTCCATATTCAACTGCAAATGTTGCTTTCTAATAAACATAATCGAATTAAATTACCGGTTTTGAGCTTACATTAAATTGTAATTAGATGAAACAAAATGGATTCTATGTATTTTGAGGTGATCTTTTCGAAAAAAGGCAAAACAAAATGTAGCAGTTTTTCGAAAGTGCCGAAATTTTGGATTTTGTCAATTTTTCAATTTTGCGCATGCGCATGTCGCAAATAAATCAATATTTTTAAAACGCAGTTTGCGACATTTAAAAGATAAGAAAAAATTCTAATTTTTATGTCTCTTGGGAAATTTTGATCCGATGCACCGTTCTTGAAGGTATGGACGATTGAAATTTGTTTAGTATTTTGAGGCGGCGAAGGTCGAAAAATTGAATTTGTTAAATGTTCAAACACTAAATTCTTCATAACTTTGGTAAAAATTCAGATATTTGAAGAAACAAAAATTTGTTTTGAACTTAAGGGATGTAACTATTGATTCCCAGAAGGGGGCAAGAGAAATCCCAAAATTGGGCATATGGCGGAAGGGCAAAGTAAATTTTTTTAATGCCACTCACAGAGCTTACTCTTAAATATGAAATCCTAAACGTGTGTGAATTTTACCGAAATCGGATTATAATTGGCCAAGATATCAAACAATTTAACAAATTTTTTTCCCTAAAAAAAAAACTAAATTTTTTTTCGAAAGTTTGAAGTGGCACAAAAAATGCCAAAAATGCACCCAATGACTTAAAACTTTTTTTTTAATACTCTATTATATCTAGAATACGATTACATTACGGAAAATTCTGCAAAAATATTTTATCTATTTTTTTGACCACTGTTCATTGAGTGACGACCAAAAAACACGGTTTTTGAGAAAAGTTGCCTAAAATTGACGATTTTCAGTTTTTTGGTCTGAAAATTGAGCAAACCCAAATCTCATGTCTTCTGAATGTGTATACAAAATTTAAAGTGTGTATGTTTCTTCTAAGTTGTAGAATTCTCCCGACAAAAGTCCCATTACACGCGCTCCGCGGGATCCAAAACTCGTGCATTTCTGTAATTTGATTTTTTTGTGATTTCCAGTTTTAAATTTCTTACATACCTACATTTATTAGGCCTAAAATTTATTAAATTGTATTTTACTGACTTATAAGACGTTTCTTGAGTTTTGTGCAAAAAATAGTATTACCGCAAAATTAGCCGGACGTCGTATCAAGGATAGGCATGGTCTCGGCGTTCGCTATCCGACAAGTTTAAACTTGAAACGGTCATATTATTACAAATTGAATCGCTTGATAGTGTTCATCGGCATAGATTTTTAATAACCGTGTTCAGCAAGCTCTGTGTACACGTGGTTTTTTGGACCTCTTCAGCAATTTATTGAGTAAGTACGTTCTTAAATTAAGAAAATTCTATCACAGTGCTATAATTTTTTTGTTTCCAGGTTTCAATGGCTGGCCTGTGTTTATTATGTCATCAGAAACTTGCAGAGGGTGAACTTACCCCAATTAGACCGACAGGATTAAAAGGTCTGCAGATGGTCAGCAAATAGAGAGGGGATGATTTTTTCAGTTCTTTAGAACCAGGTTTTATATTGCATGAGAGGTGTCGCAAACATTATGTAGCTCGACGTTACGGAAAAGAGTTTATTTATAAAACCTGGGATAGGCATAAAAGGGCCGCGATTGACAATACCAAAAAAAAAAAGGAGGATGGAGCATCAACCGAGAAGAAAACCAGATGTTAGAGAACAAAAAACAAGCTTATCACCAAGTTGGAACTTACACTCAAGCTTAGGATTAATTTCCTAACATTTTTAAAGTATACCTTTTTGTATATTTTTTTGTGCTCTTTCCGATGGCGCAGTTAGTTTCTTCAAATATATTTTTTGTAAGATGTTTTCGGAAAACCCGGAGAAAATCATATGGGAAAAAAATTAAAAAAAATTTACGCCTTCCGGTCTCCTGCGAATTCCCGAAAAATTATGGCAGATTTCGCTGCGGGACTTATTTTATTTGAGAGCCCACGAAAAAATACGCAACTTCTCTCATGGGCACATATGTCTAATATTTATAATTTCGCTACAAATTCATCACAAATTTCATGTTCATGATTCTGATCAAAGAAACGAAAAAACAACTTTTTGGTAGAAGCACTTCTGGCGGCGAGAAATTCGCCATTAAAACTACCTGTGCAATGAACTTCCAAACTATTTTTGCCTCCTCTTTCGATTGGTGCATTTATTTTTACTATCACAATGATACTTGCCCAGATAATTAGCATTTTTACCATGGAAAATTCCGGAAAACCCGGTTTTTCCTAATTTAAAAAAAAATTGAAAAACAGCTACATCATTTTTTTCTTTTTTTCGGAAAGATCACATCAAAATACACAAGGTCCACTTTGTTTCATCCAATTACAAATTAATGTAAGCTCGAAGGGGCTTTTTTTCGTTATTTAATTGGACTAACAGTGAGTTTCTGTGTGGAATATCCAAATTTTGAAATAAATAAGGACGCTCAAATAATATAAGTTTTTCATGAACAAGAACTTAATGATATGAAGCCAGCAAATATTTTTTGGAATTGTTATATATTTATAATGAATTCAAATAAAAATAAGTTTTGTCATTTTATTCATATTTATTTATCAATTACCTATTATATTACCGTTAACAGAGTCTTTTAAAAAGGTTTATTTATGGTAAGAATTTGACAGTTTATTGTATAGGTATTCTGCAATCATAAGCAAAACCCCAGTAACTACGCAAACTATAGAATGGAGATATTTGCAATAAAATAAATTATTAGTGCCAGCATTTTCATCTGTGGTACCAATATAGCTGCATTTGTTGAATCAAAGACAATTTTTGGATAATGCTTTGAACTAGCTAAAAATAGGTTTAATTTGTTCTTTGTGTTGGCTCGCGTTTTAAAAGGTTTTTGCTACAAAAGTGTTAGTTATGGTGTAGAATCAAGTTGACTTTTTAGGACATAGAATAAATATTATATTTTGCTTACTTTTTAAGAAGAAAAAAGCTTTAGTATCAAAATGGTCAAATAATAATGACGCCAGTATAGTTTTTCAATCTTTTTTTGGAAGGGCCAGTTAAAGATGGTATATTTATAAAGCACATCTTGTTTTATTGTTAAATTTTTACCCATAATTTTGAAAAGGATCAAGTTTTCTGCATCTGCTTCCACCTAAAAAATAATGCAAATTAATTAGGTAGTACCCTCAGAATCAGTGTTAAGTAAAAAGGTAGGTACACCTATATTGACCTATTAGTTGATCAACTAGGTGAACTAGGTAAGTTTTATCAATTTATATCACATTGGAAACAAAAAAAAAAAAATACAAAATTATCTTTACTTACATCAAAATACAGAAGCACGATAGTGGTTTGTATTTTGCAATAGCCCTTATCCCACTATCGTTTTTGAATGTCTAGGTCTAGATTTTGAGGAACTTTTATAAACATTTTATCAGATTGACTGTTTTTTTACTTCTCATAGGGACCAAGTGCTTAACCAGATATTTTTAATGTTACACAAAACAAAACAAATGTTTATTTTATCACACTTTTTAAGAGCAATTTCAATGTTTTGTTTCCAACAATCGATTTGAGGTTAGAAATTTTGACATCTTTGTATCATGAGAAATGAAAATATAATTTTAATCCGATTTTAGAAAGAGATGACTGTCATAAATGTCACTATTAGAAAAAGATAACGATCAACTGTCTAGTGTTACGGTATCACAGATTCTTTAGTGACCAATAGAAATAGGCGCTTCATTATGACGCGGTTAATGGCCCAAAAATGGAGCGTTTTAAATAATTGATTTAAAAGTGAACTTTTTAAAGTACTATAACTTTATTATTTATTATCTATTTAAAAAATTTATTGCATGAAAAAAAAAGTTTTTTTGTGCTTAAACACGTAATAGTATTAGATTCTTTAAATTCGTTTACACGAAACACTCCCATTATTGTTGCAAATCCAAATTTGCATTTTCGCCATAATTTAGTCTTCAGTTATATTTTAAGAATTATTAAAAAAATAAAAAAGGATGTGCAAAGCCACCCGCAGGTAGACGATGATTATTTTACATTGTTTTCTCTATAATGTTACTTGCTGGTTTAAAGCCACCCATCACAGTTGATAGTTAAACACATTTTATCATTAAAAATATATTTTTTATTGCTTACGGTAAAGATAACAAAAAAACAACAGTTTGTTGGTTGCACACAAATTTTATCACCTTTCAATTTCGATTATTTTGCAATGAGTTAACTTTTTTTATACTACAAAAAGCGTTAAGCGTCCAATTGTCTTTAAATAAAGTGTTTTAGGTAGTTTTAATACCTTACAGTTCAACCAGCGTGAGTTTTATTTTAAAAATAGGACGTATAATTTTTTTGTAAACAAAAATAACTATTTACTGATTTGAACTAAAGTCACCCATGCAGGTGATGAAAAATAAAAATATCTTGATAAAACTTAGTTTTCATTAAAACTTCAACAACACTTGATCGATCCTCAATTTCAGTACACCGATGTATTTGGGATTAAATTCCCTTTAAAATGATGTATCACAAGTAAGTAGTCCCATTGAAAATTTTAAAGTAGGGGGTGCTGGGGATGAGGGGGTTGACAACACAATGATGATGTATTTGGTGAAAGTGTTCCTCCTTGAAATAAAAATCGACGGGTCTGAGCGATTTTCAATTTTTTTCACGAGTTCGGAGATTAGGGGGTGATAAGTTTTTGCTGGGACACCCTGTATGTCGATCTTAGTATTACAAAAATGATTTACGTAAAACAATAAGGTATACAAATAGGTAAAATTTGATTATTCCTCGTAAAACATCAGTAAAATATATTATAAATTGTTTTCATTCAAAAATAATAATTTCTTAAAAATCTAACAGACGCGCCACTTTCCAGACGAAAAATTTTGCAATGTAGTACCCCACTTTTAAAGTTTATTTTGGACTATTTTTAAAAGAAAAAAAAATGTACGTGTAGGTAAAGGTTAAATCTACGCTCCTCTGGAACTACTTCTTCAAAATCCAATTTAGTTTTTTCCAAAAAAAAATTGAAAAATGGGTAAAAAAATCGAGTTTTGTATTTTTTTTTCTAGAAAAAAAAAAACATTCAAATTTTGAAAAAGTGTCTCCACCTTTACGTATACGCATATATTTTTATCTTATAGAATAAGTCAAAAATAAACTTTAAAAGTGGGGTACTACGAAACTCTTACATGCTCTCCTCTAAAAGCCAAGTAAATATTTCTCTTTAGGAAAAAAAGGGAAGAAAAAACAGTACAGAGAACGCGAAAAAAATGCGGAAAAAAAACGAGCAAAAAGAAGCTGAACTCTAGCAAGAGCAAAATTTTCACAAAAGCGGAACCATACCCAAAGTTACATTTTTTTTTAATTGTACAGTTTTATATATTCTTCTTATTTGAGAAATTATTTTTTTCGATAGAACAAATGGTCTGGTTTTAGCTATTTTTTCACAGATTTTTTTACCAATTTCATTCTACATTATTTTGGTATGGTTCCACTTTTGCCAAAGCTCCGCACAATTAAAAAAACATTAATTCAAAATATACTTTACATCACTAGTAGCCGAGGGATATCCTCCTGCTTCCAACACTAAAACCCTCCAATCCTTATTTTCACTTAGCTTATTGGCCACCACTGATCCTGCGGAACCTGATCCGACTACAATGAAATCAAATTCTTCGTCGTCCTTCAATTCAAGACCGTAGTTTTTCGGATAGGGTTCGATGGATCCGATGTTGCATTTTCCTGCCATCAAGGCGTTTAGAAGGGTTAAAAATAAGAACCCTTCTACACCCTGTAGATTTCCAGGGCAGGAATCCACTAAACCGGCACTTAGATCCATATCGAAAAGTTTTAGTTCTTGTTTTTTTACACTAACACTGTATCTAGGTAATTATAAATTCTTGTTTTTCTCTGTATCAGCTCCAAAATTTAATATCAAATGATTATGGGATTTGAATAAATAAATAGAATGTTTTCACTTATGCAGGATATTATGTACTATTTATATGCAGGCGTCTAATATCAAATGTAGCAAAGTCCACTTTTATAAATTTTTCACTACACAACAAAAACGATTTAAAAAATATTAGGACGTTACATAAAATTACTGTTTTGGGTTTAAGTGCGTAAATAAATTATTTTATGTAAATTGCAGTCAAAATCGACGTAGGATTTCGAATAATGTTTTAAATTGGCTATAAATATTGTAGATTGCTGTATTTGATATTTAATGTTGGAGTTTGCTATATATGATTTGTTCATGAAAAGAGATTGCTGTTTATGATAGTAAACTGGGGTGAGAAAACATACAGGACTGTATTGAATACAAACACAGTTCTGCTCACTAATTAATACTGTGATTATCAGAAACCAAAAACAAATGTTTTTCATATTGTCAATAAAAATGTGTCCATGGGCGCCGACCAAAAAATTGCTAGGAGGCAAGTCTTATAGGCAAGTGCATATGCCGCAGGCTATAAACGAAAGCCATAGCGAAAAATTTGATGTGTCCAACACATGACTTTCCTATCTAGTTATATTATAGGCTTTTTCCGGTTATTTTGTACAACCTATTGCAGCACCTCTATATATACAGGGTGGCTCACGCTCAACGGGACGGAGCTTTATGGGAAAACGACCAAAGATATAAAAAATTCGTTTGGGAGGAATACGTAGGTTACAGACGGCTACAATTTAAAATTTGTTAGATGTATACAGGATGTCCCACATAAGAAAAAAAAAATTAGTTCATTAAAAATTAGATATTCATTGAAAACGAAAATACTGAAAAATTTAAATTTAGTACTTTTCCTACAATTTTTCCATTACGGTCCATTTTAGAAAAATCATGTATAAACAAAAATTATAGAGATCGATATCGCAAACAACTTTTAGTCCAACAATTTTCATAAAAATCAGAATTTTGCATTTTGTCAAATTTCTCGAATACGGACCATTTCAGGAAATTTTAACATAAAACAATAATTATAGATAATAATACTTATTAGAAGTAACTTTTATTTGAACAATTTTCTTCTCCAAACATAAATAACAGATATATTCCATAACATATAAAAACGGCCTCCTATAAAGTACCCCCTCAGATGTTCCGACTTTGTCCAAAATCTAATCATTTCACGATAGGCCGAAGTAAAACTTAAGTTTAAAATTTAATGTTTTTTCCTTTATTTGTTTTTGAGTTTTCTTCAAAATTCGAAATTTACACATTTTCTTAAATATCTCGAATACGGTCCATTTCAGAGAAATTATGTATAGAATAGAAATTATAGAGACTTATATTACAAATAACTTTTATTTGAACAATTTTTATAATAAATTATTTTTTTTTTACATTTTGTCAAATTTCTCGAATACGGACCATTTTAGGAAAATTTTGTATGGAACAAAAATTATAGATAATTATATTAGTAAGTAAAACTTACAGCTTCTTTAAAAATATTTGTATCTTCTAAATAGCCTCTTCTGCTAAGGTCTCATGCCATACAAATAGCGACTTGAATTTTTTTCTTCTCCTTTGAAAGTTTTCTCACCTCTTAGTTACAATAATAATTGTAATTTAGTAAAGCCTTTTTCTTAAATAGGTAGGTAAATCATTTGACAAAAGGTCTAAAACAAAGGGATTCTTTGAATGTAAATCGAAAACATAAAGTTTAAAACATAATTGATAGGTTATATTAGTTTAAAACAAATGATTTGCTTCTTAATTTTTGGATTTTTAAATAATTTAATCTTAATTATACTTATTTTCTCACCAGATAAACATTATCTATGGGATAGGTACATGTGGGATGTTTTCTTCTTAACCTCTTTCTTCTTTTTTTCTTCAAGTCTTGCCTGAATTGCCTTTTACTTTTTTATCTTGTCAACAGAGGCGTTAGGAGAGAAACATTAATTGATTTATTTTAATTAAAACGTTGTAAATAATTAAATTATACAAGAAGAATTATAATAATTTATTATAAGTTAGTCATTTTTATAGTGTCCATCATGGACATTTATTGGACATCCATTGGACGTCTGAATGGGTATATCCATTGGATAACAGAAAATGGATGTCCAGTGGACATCCATATTAAGTTCATGGACATCCAGGACGTTATTTGGACAAAATATGGACGTCCAATGGACGTCGTGTGCTGTCTGGGAAACAAACATTCCAAACCGGTACGACACAAAAAGCTTTAATCGGAAAATTTGGAGTTTGCTGCTTTTGATATTAGACCCCTGTGTGTAAATATAGATAATATTATCACTATTATTTGTTTTAGTCACATTTTTTTCTCGAGTTCTCGATGTTACCTACTATAAAGGTCGTGATAGCTTTGAAGGTATTAGTCGTGAATAAAACGGCTTTGAACTTTAAAGACAATTGATGATTAAGAAACAAGTGTGTAAAAAGCGAGCATTTAACCTTGAATTTTAAGGCAGACCACTAGCGTGCATTTATTGAGTATTTGGAGTATTTTTAAAATAAAGTACTGCCAATTGTGCAAATTTTAATATGTTGGAAAGGGGCATTAAATTTAGCATTTTAGAAATTAAAGTAAAAACTACGGCTCCGGTAGTCACCGGTTCCTTTGCACCCAACACTGTTGATAATGGAAGAGAACGTTTTGTAAGGATTCCTGAAGTTGAAGAAGACATTTTAGAACGTGTTGAAGAAGATCCAGAATTAAGCACCAGACGAATAGGAAGGGAACTAAGAGTAAGTAAAGATGTCGTTTAAAAAGTGCTTAGAGAACAATTGCTATATCCATACCATAAGAAGCCAGTACAAGAATTATTAGTCCATGATCCTCAAATTCGTTTGGGTTTTTGTCGATTTGTTATTATGCAAAGAAAAAGAGATCCAAACTTTGTCAAGAAGGTTCTTTTTACCGATGAAGCGAGTTTTACAAGAAGAGGTATAACTAATACCCATAATGAACATTTTTATGCCGTTGAAAATCCGCATGCAATAAAGGTAAACCATTTTCAGCACGAATTCAAAATTAATGTGTGGGCTGGAATAATTGGTAATTTCATTGTTGGTCCTGTCATACTTCCACGAAGATTAACTGGAGAAAATTATTTGGATTTTTTACAAAATACGTTGCTAGAATTGTTAGAAGATTTACCTCTCCAACTTCAAGGAGATATGTGGTTTATGCAAGATGGAGCTCCACCACATTTTTCTTTAAACGTTAGAAACCACTTGAATGAACAATATCCACACAAATGGATAGGCAGAGGTAATAACGCACCTGTAAACTGGCCACCACGTTCCCCAGACCTAACACCGATAGATTACTTTTTATGGAGACATCTGAAATCCACAGTTTACAGGGAACCTGTAGAAAATGAGGAACAACTCTGGCAACGTATTCAAGATGCAATAAACAATCTTAGAGGTGATGAAGAAGTTATGGAAAGGATACATTTTAATTTTCTTTGACGTATAAATCTTTGTATACGTGAAAATGGTGAACATTTTGAACAATTTTTGTAAAATCTCTATTTTGATTATGTTTTTGTGAAACCTATACACTCTAAATTATTAAAACAGAAATTTAGCGAAAACCATGAGAGTAATCGAGTCTTATCAAGAGTACCTTTTTTAAAGGAAATGAGTTGTTTAATCTAAATTTCATACTCAAACTCCTTTTCTTCCATTGGCGTAGAATTTTTAAAGGTGCAGTTATTTAAAAAATCAAGTTCTACGCCTATGTATTATTATCGGACAAAATTTTAATACCATTTTTTTGCCACATAAAACTCTACCAATATACCAAATTTCAGCAAAATCGCATATGCCGTTTTAAATTTATATGGGAAAAACGATTTAAAAATTGTAACTTCAAGGCCCTCTGGAGCCCAAACGAAGCAACTTTGTACTAAAATTTTACTTAAATCGACTTATTTTGGTCTAAGGAATATGTGGTATGTTTTTGTAAAGACCTTTTACAGACACCCTGTATATGCATATCATTTTTATGTTAACCTGTTTGATTTTGAGTTTTCGATACAAATGCAATTGAACATTTCAGAGTCTCGTAAAGGTGTATTTTGGGTTGTCAGTTAATTGTTAGTTAATGTTATTTAATATGATTATATTATTATTGTTCTGACAGTTCATTGAATTGTCATTGATCATTGTCATTCATTGTATGCAGCACGGAGCTCCACCTCATTACCCAGTAGCGGTCTGAAATATCTTTTAAAACAATTCCTCGGCGATAGATTGGCAGAGAAAGTGACTTCTAATGGCCGCCAAAAAGTCTTGATTACAACCCACTGGATTTATGGAGTTCTTAGTTTATTCCAATGAAAATCCTTCACGAAATTTCAAACGAATTAGAATAAGCGTGGAAGTAGTAGGAGGTCGCATAGAACATTTACTCTTGAGTTTGTTATTTTTAAGTTCATTATATTTATTATTGCCTTAATTGTTACAAGTTTATTTTTATGAAGTGTACAAATGAGTTTTTCTCCAAATCTGTTAAAATTATCCAGTTTAAACTAGTATAATAATTTTACATAAAAAGGGTAGTGTAAGAAAGGTAAATAAATGTTTTTGTAAAGACCTTTTACAGACACCCTGTATAAGACTCGTAACAAGTTTTACTAAGAACTTTACACCGAAATCTCAGATAAGAGAAGATAAGACAGTCTGAATGCAAGCTAGTAGTTTTAAACTTTGCATGAGCTTTCTTCTTATGGTATATTATTGTTTTAAGTTCAAAAGAATACCATTTAGGATAACTAGATGAAACGAATTTCCTTAGAGAAACAAAATTTACTAAGGCATTTGATAAAATTACTCATTATTAAAAATAAACTGATCCCAATTTATAGGAAACAGATTTTTTTTTTTTTTTTTTTTTTTTTTTTTTTTAGTTTTTACTCCCTTCAGACCTCCCGTGCTACACCCTAATCCGTCTGTAGTCCGGCAGCACTGCAGCCTGCGGCTTATTATACCACCATTTGAAGGTCCTACTACTTTCCCATTCACACCCTCATTCATTCCACGTCGTCGATGGTTAAACGCTAGTTGGACGAATCCCATGGTGACACGACCCATGGTGGAACCTCCCAGCGGTCACCCATCCATGACGTGACCGAAGAGATCACTGCTTAACTGTTGCGAGTAAGTGGATGCACACTAAGCTCGCAGCTAGCCTCTCCGGCTAGGAGACAGATAGTTGTTTATTGCCACATAATCAGCATTCTTAAAATCAAGAAAAAAAATCATCAAAAGGCAGCGGGTCAAATTTTCCAAGCATGATATCACATTCAATAGCTAAGTAGTGATAATTATTATCTAATAGAGGGTCAACAGCTTTAAAAATATTTAAAGAATAGGGTTCATTGCAAAAAATAAGATTTAAGAATACATTATGTGGATTAAATATATAATTACATTGTTTTAAGTTCAAGTAAGAACAATATTCAACCAAAGCTCTTGCAGGATAATGTAGAAGGCAGCTAACTAGTAAACCATCCTCATCTAATTTAGCCCAAGAAGCAAATGGAAGGTTATAGTCACCAAACAAGTACAACGTATAATCCAATGACATATATAGTATAATATATGTCATTGGTATAATCAGGATACTGTGGCACCATGAGTTAAATAAATCGTTTTATTAGAACCAGGAGGAATATAAGTTGCTCTAATTATAAATTTGTTATCATTAATAATAAATTTTACAGCAGATGCTCTATTGTTGAATTGAATTGTTTACATTTAAGATGTTGACTATAAAAGACTCTTTTACCGCAATAAGAACACCACCACCTCTTGTGCAGTCACTGGTATTTTGGTTACAATCCACGCAAGCCGATTTCCGCATCTAAATAATTTTCATGCAACCACGTTTGAGATAGCACTATAACCTCGAAGCTACTAGTAATTGCGTCAGACCTCAAAGTAGACAACTTAGTCCTAATACCGCCAGTATTGTGATAAAACACTGCAAGTTTATTTAGCGTATTCCCGTTTAAGCATTTTTTGGTTTATTAATTATTTTGGGGACACCTCTAGCAAATTTTAAGACTAAATCGTTTTCGCCGTGCTCTAGCCTAGATTTCAACTCATCTTGAACTTCATGTAATTGTTCTTGTTGCATCTTGGTCTTATCCATGCTAATTTTAATAGTATATGTTGCATTTTCTTTAGTTTTAACACTTGGTTCACGAGTTGAGGATTCTTTAGTACAGTTTTGATTATCCTAGGTTTGTTTCCAATTTTTCCCGCAGTACTTTAACAATTTCTGCCTCGCCAATACCAACACTATTCAAAACTCTAGCAACTTTAACTTTATCCTCTGCAATTTTATCATTCAGCGTGGTAGAAACAGGTTCAGGAACATTGTACAACATAACATTTGAGGCACGCAATGAGCGCTCTTGAAATTCGTTGAAAACTTCTTGAGTATCGAGTTTCGTTACTTCATTAAGTTTTTTCATATCTTCCTTCAGGGTTTTCACTTCGTTTTCTAACTTACTAATCTTGTTGAGCAACAAGGGAATTATTTTAAAGGAGGATACGCACTCATCACAGAAAAAAATTAGTACACGTTTTTGGAGTACAATAGCCCTTACTTCGCTGGCACAGAGACCAGAACATTCTTTCAGATGAAAAGGATCTCTACAGCTATCGTAATTTATTACCTTATCCTCTTCAGTTAAAGACAAATCGCATTTTAGGCATTTTGCACGAGGCATCTTAACGTCACTTTAACAAAAACACTTAAAATATAACAAGTGGAAACTGCGGATTAGCTTATATCACACCATGAAGTACTACTCCAAAACTATCGTACCTAATCAATAATTGAAATAGTTTGTCCAAATTTACGAAAAACTTTGCACATAAGAGCAATCACCTGAGGTCCGCTTTATAGGTTATGATTGGCTGCTTTTAAATTCTTAGGACTTTCTTTTGAAAAACTTGTACCATGTTGATATTACTCTTGCTAGCACATTCCCATAGCTGTATGCCATAAATCCAGATTGGTTTTAGGATTTGTTTATAAATCAGCACTTTGTTGTACACTGATAATTTGGATAATTATGTGTTATGTCAATTTAACAATAGCCTTCCGTAATAGTTTCAGTAATAAGGTCATATCCTGGGGTTTTTTGTGAGTTGATATTTGTCTGAATTTCTTTCGTAACTTCATTAGGAGTAACTAGCCTAATTTCAAGTGTTCCATATTATGGATCGTCTCGTTAGGAGTGTCTTGATTTTCATCTAATTGAAACCTCTTTTGTAGGTGGTCAGCAAAAATAGATTTCTGTTGATCGTCTCTTGCTCATTTGTTATCTGCTATTCTGATACAAGGACAGTGTTTACACGAATTTTTTATCTTTTTCGTTGCCTTTCAGAGCGAATAATCAGTTTCTTTATCATCTGTTAGCCATATTAGGTATCTGTTGAAGGATTCTTCTTTGTGATTTAGGATTTCTCTTCTCAGTCTTTGGGTAACCCTATTTAATATATTTTTATCTTCTGTTGATCTTGTCATCTGTCATTTCTTTCTTGGTTTTGCGCAGTTTTTTACAGCTGTTAATCTTCTTACTTTTGGTTTATTCCTCCATGCAGCTTGCTGGATTTCAACTATAAACCTTTCCAGTTCTTTATCTAGCTCTTAATTCAAGCTAAGCGATGCGCCTTCTGGGGGTACATTTGTTGTTATTAAAATTTTAACAAATATATTACTATTGTATTAAAGTGAAACTTAAAAATGTTATTCAAAATGTCTTAATTTTAGTTACAAAAGTAAACACGGTTACAACGGTAACCAAAAAGCTTAAAATTTATGTATTGCTTCAAAATTATATCGTAAATTAATTAAATGGTATGACCACACTGTATAATGTTTTGCCTACTTACACAGAGCGTGAAAATTAATTTGAATCGCGAAGAGCACAAGCGTCTAGCATTAGAGAATACCAGAAATTTGGTGATCGAACATTGTTGAAAAGTCCATTTGGCGTTTTCGTTGAGATTCGTTTTTGCTGACCTTCCAGGTCCCCCTAGCTATATACATTTTTTTTTTATAATAACACGATAATAATCAAACAACATAATGTATTGAAAAACTAAACAACAATAAAAAAATCAAATATATCACAACTCATCGCGGTTATCCTTCATCCAATCTTCAACGATCATCACGCCAGCTTTGTACCCAATCATCATGGCTGCCGCTTGAGTATTAGCGCTGACAAGTTTCGGCATGATACTGGCATCTACGACCCTCAAATTCTTGATACCGTGAACTTTTAATCGCGAATCCACCACTGCAGTACCGTCGTCTTTGGGTCCCATCTTGCACGTACCGGTTGGATGGTATATGGTCGATCCGAGGTGCCTCATGATACACTCCCAGTACTCGTCCGAATTGTATTCGTGCTTGTCGCAAGCTGGAAGTTTTAATTTTATCTGCTGCGGTTTCAATTTTTTGATTGGGTCGGTTTCGATTAGTTTTTCTAAGAATCTGAAAAATAAAAAATTGTCTTGATAGTATATTACGTTATGTTGGGAGTGATATATTAATATACTGTAACCTAAAATATATATTGTACCCACATCTGTCGCTAATGCAGCAAGAAAATTTGTCAATGCTTATAACGACCCTTCCAATCATATCTTCTTAAGGAAGTGTAGGATTTGCAGTGGCTTCAAGTTAGGAAAATCGCCCTCTTCTATTTGATAGTGCCCCTGGATTCTGGAGTGCTACACATTCAGGCATAATGTGAATGAAGGCTTTGTTCTCCTCCTACAGAATCTGTACTACTACTCTCAGGTTACTGAGGTTTCCTTTGAGTCGACAATGCCCAGTAAGGATCCCTGTTGCGTAGCCTGTTCTTGCTCAGGCACATACAGGCTTCCGATCTTTTCTGGTTATATTCACCCAGAAGTATGTTAGCCTGTCTTATGCCCAAGATTATCGTTCAATAATATATTACGTAACAAGAGTAGTAAGAAGTTAATTGCGTTAATTACGCTGGTAGAAAAGTTGCTCTTGAGTCGTGTTATCAATTTCGTAGTATTGGTTAATTTTTGGTATTTCTGAGCATTCCATTATAAACAGATGGACTGAGAGGGACGATATAGATGATGTAGGTTATTTACTTCTATTTGCTATTATTTATGGTTTGACATATGAGTCTAACGTCTTTGATAATCCTGAATTAATTATAAATGCCTTTGGAACTTTCTTTTTCAGCGTCTTCTTACATTCTAACCCTTTTATTTTTTCAATTACAACAGATACAGTTAACTCTCATATAATTTTGGATAGTACATCAGAACTTGATATAATTATCTATTGCTTCAAAAAAACTAAAAAACAAAATGACATCTGGTTGTGATAATATTCCAAGCTTCCTAGTCAAAGATTGTATAAACAAACGTTCTCCCCTAAACCATTGGCAGTTATCTTTAATATTATTCTTAAATCTAATTCATACCCAACAATATGGAAAACCACAAAAATTTGTACGGTATTTAAAAATGGTGACTCAACTCGTATTTTAAATTATAGACGCAAACCTCTAGAAAATCAAAGAAAAGCACAGAAAGTCATAGAAAATCATAGAAAATCTTAAGGAAAATCAATGAAAATTCTAGAAAACCTTATAAATCCCTAGAAAATCAATGACAATTCTAGAAAACCTTATAAATCCCTAGAAAATCATAGAAAACCTTTTGAAATTCATAGAAAACCATAGAAATTCAAATAAAATCAGAAATTCCTAGAAAATCCATAGAAAATCTTTGAAAAATCATAAAAAATCATAGAAAGTCATAAAAAATCATAAAAAATCATAGAAAATCATAGAAAATTACAGAAAATCAATCATAGAAAATCATAGAAAATCATAGAAAATCATAGAAAATCATAGAAAATCATAGAAAATCATAGAAAATCATAGAAAATCATAGAAAATCATAGAAAATCATAGAAAATCATAGAAAATCATAGAAAATCATAGAAAATCATAGAAAATCATAGAAAATCATAGAAAATCATAGAAAATCATAGAAAATCATAGAAAATCATAGAAAATCATAGAAAATCATAGAAAATCATAGAAAATCATAGAAAATCATAGAAAATCATAGAAAATCATAGAAAATCATAGAAAATCATAGAAAATCATAGAAAATCATAGAAAATCATAGAAAATCATAGAAAATCATAGAAAATCATAGAAAATCATAGAAAATCATAGAAAATCATAGAAAATCATAGAAAATCATAGAAAATCATAGAAAATCATAGAAAATCATAGAAAATCATAGAAAATCATAGAAAATCATAGAAAATCATAGAAAATCATAGAAAATCATAGAAAATCATAGAAAATCATAGAAAATCATAGAAAATCATAGAAAATCATAGAAAATCATAGAAAATCATAGAAAATCATAGAAAATCATAGAAAATCATAGAAAATCATAGAAAATCATAGAAAATCATAGAAAATCATAGAAAATCATAGAAAATCATAGAAAATCATAGAAAATCATAGAAAATCATAGAAAATCATAGAAAATCATAGAAAATCATAGAAAATCATAGAAAATCATAGAAAATCATAGAAAATCATAGAAAATCATAGAAAATCATAGAAAATCATAGAAAATCATAGAAAATCATAGAAAATCATAGAAAATCATAGAAAATCATAGAAAATCATAGAAAATCATAGAAAATCATAGAAAATCATAGAAAATCATAGAAAATCATAGAAAATCATAGAAAATCATAGAAAATCATAGAAAATCATAGAAAATCATAGAAAATCATAGAAAATCATAGAAAATCATAGAAAATCATAGAAAATCATAGAAAATCATAGAAAATCATAGAAAATCATAGAAAATCATAGAAAATCATAGAAAATCATAGAAAATCATAGAAAATCATAGAAAATCATAGAAAATCATAGAAAATCATAGAAAATCATAGAAAATCATAGAAAATCATAGAAAATCATAGAAAATCATAGAAAATCATAGAAAATCATAGAAAATCATAGAAAATCATAGAAAATCATAGAAAATCATAGAAAATCATAGAAAATCATAGAAAATCATAGAAAATCATAGAAAATCATAGAAAATCATAGAAAATCATAGAAAATCATAGAAAATCATAGAAAATCATAGAAAATCATAGAAAATCATAGAAAATCATAGAAAATCATAGAAAATCATAGAAAATCATAGAAAATCATAGAAAATCATAGAAAATCATAGAAAATCATAGAAAATCATAGAAAATCATAGAAAATCATAGAAAATCATAGAAAATCATAGAAAATCATAGAAAATCATAGAAAATCATAGAAAATCATAGAAAATCATAGAAAATCATAGAAAATCATAGAAAATCATAGAAAATCATAGAAAATCATAGAAAATCATAGAAAATCATAGAAAATCATAGAAAATCATAGAAAATCATAGAAAATCATAGAAAATCATAGAAAATCATAGAAAATCATAGAAAATCATAGAAAATCATAGAAAATCATAGAAAATCATAGAAAATCATAGAAAATCATAGAAAATCATAGAAAATCATAGAAAATCATAGAAAATCATAGAAAATCATAGAAAATCATAGAAAATCATAGAAAATCATAGAAAATCATAGAAAATCATAGAAAATCATAGAAAATCATAGAAAATCTTCTGCTTCAGAAGTATTCTATTTATATTGCTAGCACTATACATGATTCAACTTATACATGGTAAAGAATGTCAACTGATACATGGAGGAGATGTCGTATAAACAGGGTAGATGACAGACAAAGAAAGATGAATAGGAGAGGTTGAAGAACACTTATAAATCATACACACACATCAGTGTAGACCTAAAATGAAAAAGAAACCACTGTAGAAGCTGAAGAAGAAGAGGAAGAGCGAAACGTTGAAAGGGTGACAGACAGTCGGATATTCGTAGAAAAGCATAGAAAATCAAAGAAATCCATCGAAAATCATAGACAACTTTGAACATTTGTATACTTTATTGATACGAGAGGCCAAAAAGGCCCAAACTATAGAGGAACACTGAAAAATACTTAGAAATAATGTAGAGAGCAGTGCAGGCCTAAAACGAAGAACAAAAAACCACTGGAGAAGATGCTGAAGAAGAGGTATTGAGAATAAGTCGAAGAAGAACGCATAGGATCTTGGACACCAATGCTTTTTAAATGGAAAACGTGTAGTTTACTCTGGACAGTAGAGTGCTGGTGTGGACATTTAAGTAAAGATAGGACAAATATTGCTAATAATTTAAATGGGGGAAAGTTATTTGTAATGGGATAAAGTCAACATTGGACAATGGGTTAGGAGGGCATACGAGAAGTTCAAAAGCGATTTAATAAGGAGAGATAAAACGATGAAACAAGGCGAACTTCTCGCATGTCCTCTTAACCTAACATTTTTCAATGTTGACTTTACCCTATTACAAATAACTTTCCTCCATTTAAATCATTAGCAATATTTGTCCTATCTTTACTTAAATGTCCATACCAGCATTCTACTATCCAGAGTGAACTACACGTTTTCCATTCAAAAAGCATTGGTGTCTAAGATCCTTTATATTGAGTTGGCCTGCGCCTGATTCAAACGGAAAAAATGTCGTAAGACATGTAAGGTTATGTTAAACTATTTTGGGCGCCAGGTCACCAAGGGATCGAAGGCAACGAAAAGGCTGACGAACTTGCAAAAAGAGGGTCAGAAGAAACACCGAAACCAGACACAAACCCAGGAGTACCAAAAAGTACAGTCCGGGGTTTCATAAACGACTGGATTCGGGAACAACATATTAACTATTGGGCAAATACCCCAAAACAGGCATATGGAAAATCCTTCATAGGCAGACCATGTCCCAAAAGAACTGGAGAACTACTCTCAATGAATAGGAACCAGTTGAAAGTGATAACAGGGTTTATGACTGGGCACGCCCCAGTAAAGGGACATTTGAACAAAATTGGCATGTACAATGGGGAACTGATGTGCTGACTATGTCACAAGAAACCAGAAACTGCCAAACACATACTGTTCGAATGCGAAGCTCTAGATTGCAAAAGACAGGCTCTTTTTGGACAACCCCAGGTTGATCCAACAACGTATAGAACCCGCTCACCCAAGGATCTGTACAAACTTGTACAAGGTACAAAGGTGACAGAGTGGGTGCTATAAACTAACATGGGGTAAAACACAATAAGCCAATAGGCTTCAGTGGTATTCGGAGATACATAGTCAGACGAGCTCAGGAGAAAAAAAAAGGGTTAGGTTAGGCAACTTCGTAGCTGTCAATTTTCAGGTTAGGTTGGAAACTCTGGATTGGCAGCTGACAGATGTTAGGTTAGGTTGGATTAAAAACTGACAGCTGTCATTATTTGAACTTCGACTCGTGACCTTAAAAGCGACAAACATTGCCAGAATTGACCTTAGCGATTTCCCATGTAAATTTACAATGGCCCCGAACTGTTAGAGTGCCTTTACTTGTAGTTATAAACAAAAGCAATATATATTACAGAAGATTAATGGTGGTTGTAGATAAGAAACATTACCTTATTCCTTCCAGCACAGTTCGAACATCCTCACCGTCCGCGTCAGTCAAATATCCCGAATAAATCAAAGGATGATAGTCGGGATTCTTGCTTTTCAAAAGGAGTTTCCCTTTGGATTTGGGATTCAGCAATGTTACAAGGAACAACATACCGGGGCCAGCCTTCGTAGCCTCCAGCCTATCTATTGATATCTGATCGTTCAATCCCGACACTCTGGTATATTCAGGAATCAAATATTTATCATCAGCTGCATAAAAGAAGTGATGTAAACCCAAGTTTGGATATACAGAAGAATCGGCTTTGGTATTAATAAATCCTAGACTGTTGGTCACGTGAACAGTCGCAAATATTCCAGATTGATGCGTAAAATAATTATAGAGTTGGTCTAATGGGTGCGCCGCTCTAATTGCTTCTGGAGAGAGAGCAATGTCGAATGGTGCTACAAAATGGTCTTCTAAATTTTCCCCGACTGGTAGATCTTTAACTACTTTGATACCGACAGATTCTAGATGTTCTTTCGGCCCAATTCCGGATAGCATTAAAATCTGCGGTGAGTTTATCGTACCTCCGGATATTATAACTTCTTTTTTAGCCCTAATCTTCAGTATTCTTTCACCTATTTTAACTTGTACTCCTGTAGCAACCTTTGTGTTGGGATCTATCAATATTTTTCGTACAGAAGAGTTTAGAGACGTAAATATGTTGGTTCTTTTCTTAATTTTTCCAAGAAAGGCTTTGGCTGCGTTAATTCTAAGACCGTTTTTGATATTGGTAGTAACGTCTAGGATGCCTAGTGGTTTTAGGGGGTTTTCTTCGTCTAAATTCGGGTAGCCCAGTAGTTTGTATGCTTCGAATAAGGCGTATTTTATTGGTTCGCCTGAAAAATATGAAAATTAGTTAGTTAGTTAAGATTTTTGATAATTTGAAAAATGTAATAGTGTCAATTTCTATTTTTACAAGTAAAATAGAACGTAAGAACTTGTTTTTTATCAGTGACTGGGTTTGTAAATATTTTTTTACCCTCTTAGGCATCACTCATTTGTTGCTCGACTCATACATTCTATCCTTACGTTCCACTGTCTAGATGGGCTCTGAGCTCTATGAGTTCGATCACCCTTTCAGACCATGACTGATCACATACTTCAGTCATCCAGAGATTCAGTCCTATTTGTATATTAATTACCTGAATCATATTTTGATAAATCCAAATATCCATCTCTACCGAACTGTTCGCTATCTTCCAGACCTTCTAGATTTTCCAGTTTCTTAAAATAATCTTTAACGTTGTCCCAATCCCAACCGGTGTTTCCTAGTTCCGCCCAGTGATCGTAATCCCTTTTGTTTCCTTTTACGTAAAGCATTGCGTTTAAGACACTGGTTCCTCCAAGGACTTTTCCCCGCGGCCATCTGCATTGTTGGTCCTTAAACGATAGACAGGATGTGCTTGTTGGTTCTGTTTTGTACTGCCAGTCTTCATTTGTCGTTTCCAAGCTGAAAAGAAGGCCTGGGACCTAATAATAAAAAAACTATTATTATATATGGTTTTAGACATGTAAGAACAACTACAGATGCCATGCTAGTTTTAATGAATATAATTCAGGAGTATTTGGAAAGTAAATCACAATGCGTTGCTATATTCACTGATCTGTCTAAAGCATTTGACTGTGTAAGTCACACATTGTTAATCAACAAACTAGATAAATATGGCATTAGAGGATTTGCAAATAATGATTGCTTTTTATTTACAAAATAGACAACAAAGTGTATATTACAGAACTAAACTTAGTAAACCTTTAGTAATAAAAAGTGGTGTCCCACAAGGATCTATAATTGACCCTATATTATTTTTAATACATACCAATGAACTTCCATCATTGTCTAGAATGGATATTAAATATATTCGTTCAGTAGTATGTGCGTAGATAAGCTAACTTTGAATTAAAATTATTGTTTACTGCAATTTGTTTAATGATATTTAATTCTTTTGTGAAGTTCTCTTTGGTAAGGGGGATATTAACTAATCTATGGATCATACTGTTGTATGCTACCAGCTTTTGTTTGTATGGATGATATATGAACTATTATTTATTGTAATATCAGTATGTGATGGATTATGAAATATCCCAAAACTATGGCCTTTATTAATTTTAATAATATTTAAGTCTAAAAAATTAATTGAATTATCCTTCTCTGTTTCCATAGTAAATTTAATATTAGGGTGTATAGTATTGATAAAAACTAATAAAGAATTTAACTGTATACTAGTACCAGTAAAAGCAGTCAGTATATCGTCAACATATCTATGCCAATAAAGACAATGTTTACTTAAATTATTGCTATGAATTTTATGTTCTATATTATCCATAAATATTTCCGCAAGCAACGGGCTTAATGGGTTCCCCATAATAAGACCTTCATTTGCTAAATAGATGTTATTTTGAAATTGAAAATACTGGTACTAGTTACTGGTACTAGTAGACAGTTAAATTCTTTATTAGTTTTTATCAATACTATACACCCTAATATTAAATTTACTATGGAAACAGAGAAGGATAATTCAATTAATTTTTTAGACTTAAATATTATTAAAATTAATAAAGGTCATAGTTTTGGGATATTTCATAATCCATCACATACTGATATTACAATAAATAATAGTTCATATATCATTCATACAAACAAAAGCTGATAGCATACAACAGTATGATCCATAGATTAGTTAATATCCCCCTTACCAAAGAGAACTTCACAAAAGAATTAAATATCATTAAACAAATTGCAGTAAACAATAATTTTAATTCAAAGTTAGTAAACAACATTTTAGAGAAAAAACTTTTTAAACATGCTATTCAACAAGTTTATCCCATAATTAAAGATCAAAATTGCAGATATAAGAGTCTTACATATATAGGAGCTCCTAGTGAAAAGGTATCATCATATTTAAAAAACCAAAATATTAACGTAGCTTTTAAAACCAATAATACGCTTGGGAAGTATATTAAAAACAATAAGGGTAAAATTAATCCTAATAATAAATCGGGGCTATATAAATTAAATTGTGGTAGTTGTCCAAAACTGTATATTGGTCGAACAGGCCGTACTTTCAAAAAGCGCTATTCCGAACATTATAATAGTTATACAAAAAACAAAAATAATTCTACTTACTCAAATCATATTTTAGTTGAAAATCATTTTTTTACAGACAACTTTGAAATTTTACATATAGAAAATAAGGGCAATAAACTAAACCATTTAGAAACACTTGAAATAAATAGATTTAAAAATTCAGATAACCTACTCAATGAAAAATTAGATATTAATATCTCACCCTTATTAAATCTCTTTCCTAGTTTTCTGTGAGATAATCCCGGTAATGTTACTATCTTATTGTTATCTGATTGATATCATAATTACCTAAGTACCCTTATTTACTTTAAATAGTTAGTTTATTTTGTTATGTTATTGATGTTTTCTTAAGTACTTTGTTTTGTTAAATTATTTCGCATATATATTGGATACCGAATTGTAAATTAGTCACATTTGAAAAAGAAGTTGTACTTCGAAACATGTCATGTGTAGTGTTTTTAATTTTTATTTTTTAAAATAAGAGTTTTGTGAAAATCTACCAAATTTGGTTTTACTCATTCAAGATTTCCATTAGACGTTCAAAGGTAGCTGGGGCATTACAGATACCAAACAGGAGAACCTGGAATTTATATAATCCGCTGCCAGTTGAAAAAGCAGTTTTGTCTCGATCGTCAGGATGTACTTCCAGTAAGGCTTGCCAATTTATCGAAGAGAGCATTTAAACTGAAGAAAGGACAAGAAATAGGGCTCTTTACACCGGTGGAAAACAATTAAGTGCGAAGACAGTTCCACTGGGAAAGCTACCACAAGTAACTCAGTTGACGCCAGCTTTGTAAAACAGCTAGTTAAAAATTATGACCACCTGACAGCTGAAGAACTTAGAAAAGTCAAAGAATTTATCAATTCCAACTGTTGGAATTGGAATAAATTGTGATACCAAAAACCTGCGTAACAATATTTCTAGTTCATGAGTAAAAATTAAATTTGGTTTTTGTTTTCTGATAGATATTATCTTTAGCTCATTAGATATACCTCCATTGTAAGTTTTTTTTTTAACTATTTTCACCACGTATTTGTGTATGGCTTGAGGAGGATAAATGTTTCTTACCTATAAAATTATAATGTAATGTGAAATGCTAAATGGTAAAATACTAGTTATTGTGTAACTTTGGGGTAAAAATAACATAGTAGACTTCGAAATACTAGAAGCTTGTGTCTTAATATGTTTTGTAAAACACATGTTCACACTTCACATCCCTTGTATCTTTATTAATACTAGTGTATACGATTTATAATTTGTGAAAAGTAAGAACATGAGAAAAATTAATGAAAATTATTACTTTTAAATATCAAAAAAATCACAAGGTTTTATTAGAGTTTATTTTCAATCCAAGAAATTATTAACAAATTTATACAAAGTGGGCCATTCAAAACAGTCAATTTGACAGTATTTTTCGGATTTACAATACAGACGTCTGCCGTGTGTCAACCTCTTCTCTTTCACTTAAATAGGGAATATACCGTGTGTGGCACATTATTAGAAAGGTATTTCAATGAACTATTTATTCTATAAAATTAAACGAAACATTTATGTTTGGGTTCAATTTTGGGTTTAACATTAAACATACATTAAAACAAATTAAATTAATTTTAATTACATTTTTATATCTAAAAAAGTCATAGATCAAATGAATGACTGAATAGTCCGTCGCAATACTCTTTTTATGATTTGCCACACATGTTGTGTTTCCTATTTAAAATGAAGGAGTTTGAGAAGTGGAAGGTATGGGTTGATATATGACAGATGTCTGTATTATAAAAGTGTTTTGCCTTTGGAATAAAAATCGACCCGTTTCAGGATTTTCTTAAAATCCAATAAACACTGCCAGATAATAGGGTGGATTGTTTTTAATAGCAGTAGAAAACAGCTTTCAGAGATACTAACAAAGAAATCTTTAGCATTATATTGTAAAAATGTATATTTACATCTGACTGTGAAAAGTAACTTAATTATAGAAAACAAGTATAGGTTAATTGAGGTTAAATAACATGGAATAAATTGGAGATAGGACGAAAAATCTATTTAATTTATCCATCAAACATTTGGTATTATTAATAAAACACAAACATTAAATTATTGCTGGGTACCTTTACCAATGAAACATGAAAAAAGTGATTTTTGTGTGCATAAAAATTTGTATCTGGAGACAATGTTCAAAATTTCAGTCAAATCATTTTTGTTTTAGTTTCGAACCTTTTCCAACTAAAATTGCATTCGAGCTCAATTTAACAATTACTTTCTTTTGGTTCTACGCTACTGGGTTATTGAAATGTATAAACGTTAAATGCAATATAATAGCTATTATACTTGGTAATTATTAAGAACAACTATTTGTTACTAAAAGCAATTCATTTAATAAAAAAAATAGTTCACTTAAATCGTATATGCGAGTATGAAAATAGTTTCCTTTTGAGAATAATTCATGAATATCTGTAACGAAAACTGTAATATTTATGAAGAGTGATCCACAAAAAAATGTTTCTCAAGTAGATCATGACTGACAAAGTAAGCTTTAAAAAAATGCTTAGTTTGCAGTTGCTTGTAAATTTTCTTACTCCCGCTTGAGATGAAAAGCCGAGGTAAATTAACTTGTCATTCATTGATAATTTATCAACTGATCTTTGACGTTTTCCTTACAGCCATTTATTTTTTTCTTTTTTCCATCTCTATACTCAATTGAATTCACTGTATTTTATGAATTTAATGTATTCAATTTACACTATTAAATTTACTGTATTAAATTCATTGTATTGACTTTATTGTTATTTTGGCTAATAAAAATAAAGACCAATATTATTATTATTAGATACGAATCACGTCCGTCTTAATTATGAACGCCTCTAGATTAAATCTAAAATGTCATATTTAAAAAAGAAGAATTGTACTCGCCGACATACGTGATTCGTTCCACGTTTTTATATCAGCAATAATTTGTATGATTCATAGAACTACAGAAGTGGTTTGCACGAACCTGTATACAGTGTGGTTCTTTTTAACTATGTCTAGAACTCTTTTTAAAATAACTTTTTCTATAATCAAGAAATTTTAAGGAGTTAGGTCTAGCGATCTCGATGGCCACCTACTGCTTCATTTTGGCCGATCTACTTATTCTGGAAAAGTATTATCTAAAAATCCCCCGATTTAAACTTTTTCATTTTTTGCGTATATCTACCGAAGTCACCAGACCTAAATCCTTATGATTTTGTATATTATGTTGCATTTTTTTCTTATTATTTTAATTACTTTTATCTTCAACCTGTATACAGAAATCTATCAGAAATCGAAATACTATATCCCATTAATTATTCTTTAAAACTGGCGAATATCGACATTTTTCCCTAATTTTTTCGTTGCTCATAAACA